CTCGTGTGCGTTCGTCGATCTCGACTCGAACGTCGCGATTACTTAGTTCGTACGAAGTACAGCGTGACGACGCGGACAATGATTACGATGTACGAGCGGATTTTTTTTTCTTCGCCTATTCGTTTCGGCTCGTTCTCGCGATAACGAAGAACGCAGCTGCGAAGCGACGTAAGGCTCGGAGAATAGTTTTCAGTTTTTTCATTTTGGCCAACGGTTGCGGAAAAAAAAAAGAGAAAGACGCGGTGGACTACGGTTTCCTTAAATGCATCGGAACGATCATTTTCCAGTGCGCGTTGCACCGTGAATACTCGACGCGTCGCGTCGATAGCACTACGAACGAGTGCATCCCATGGTCTTCCTACCTATCCATCCACCCACCCACCCACCTATCTACCTACCTACCTACCTACCTACCTACCTACCTACCTACCTACCTACCTATCTACGAAGCCACTTTTATCGCGGCTTCCTTTTTCCTTCCCTCGTCTTTTCACCCAACAGTATCGTCTCTCCGCGAAAATGAATTTACACGGATATCCGCGAAAGTAACGCGATACTCGATTTTCCGTATCGGCGTTTACCACTCCCGATTTTACCAACCGAGTTTGCTAACACCGACCACGGAATATCGATGAAACGATAGAAGGAGAGTCGAGGCGATCGCATCGCTCGCTTCGTCACGATTCCTCGAAAATGCGAGGCATCCGCTTTCGTAGACGCTACGCTTCGCGAAAAGAGAAAGTAAACCACATCCTTCCTTTCTCCCGTGTTTCGATCGTACGCGTCGAAAATCGTACGTTTCTCCGTCTTTGACTAATTTTCAAACGTAACGTCTTCTCCTCCTTCCCCCTCTCTCTCCCTCCTCCCTCTCTTTCCTTAGATCGTAAACGCGAAACGAAACGAGACGAAACGAGACGAAACGAGGCGAGGCGAGACGGGGCGAGACGGGACGAAAGGAGACGCGTAGTATCCTATCTCTCTCTTTACGTAACTGCTTCTTGCCCAGAGCATCGCGCCGTCTCGACCAGCGGCGGCCTCCCCCCCTCTCTCTCCCTCCTCCCTCTCTTTCCTTAGATCGTAAACGCGAAACGAAACGAGACGAAACGAGGCGAGGCGAGACGGGGCGAGACGGGACGAAAGGAGACGCGTAGTATCCTATCTCTCTCTTTACGTAACTGTTTCTTGTCCAGAGCATCGCGCTGTCTCGAACAGCGGCCGTTTCCCCACGTTTCTCTCGTCCGGAAAACGTCTCTCGACGGAAAAGTAAACGCTCGCGTTTCCCTACCACGTGACCTTCCCGACCGATGGATCCGCGAAGAATCTTCTTCGCGCGCGAAGAAACGATTTTACCGTCGGCGAAAATTACGTCTTACCTGGGACGCGTGGTCCGCTATTATTAGAGTCAACCCCCTGCGCGACAATCGCGCGATCCATAATTCAAAGGTGGGAGGGAGGAGGAAGAAGGAAATTTTCAAGTTCTCGGGATCGAAGTTACGCACGAGCGGAAACATCGTATCGCGCTATGCGATTACGGTATTTAGATGGAAATTATCGAGTGATATCTATATAATATAACTCCCCCCTCTCCCCCTTTCCGGTAACCCTTTCTTACGAACGCGCTTACGAATCGACCGATACCGTGGGAAAAGAGTACGATGCGAGTAATATCGATTCGACGATCGCACCGTATACCTGTAATTTTCAATTTTAACGGAAACGGGCAACAAAGCATCGGCTGCGACGTACAACGTTGCTCAGTACAAAACCGTACAAACCTGATTGTTTGTATTTAGTCTCGAGCGTAATATTTGTAGCGCGGAGACCCATTACCACGCAGCTCTTCCCTCGCTCTTCCCCCTCTCCTCCCATCTCTTTCTCTCCCTCCCCCTCTCCCGTTCACGTCCATCGACTTTCCCCGTGGTGTAGAGTGACACAGCTTTTAGACCGTTGGCTGGTAAACCGAACCGATCGCTCCAAATTCGAGCACGGTTACACACTTTTGCCTCGTTCTTTTGCCCACCACCGATCTCCACAACCAGCAACGCGAGGAACGATTCGAATTGTCCGCAACTGTGCGACCCGCTCTCGCGGCAATCCAACGATGCGACTAATTTGGATGCGGCGAAGCGCGTTACCGACGCTCGTTTGTGCGTGTCACGCGAGCTTCCCAAGATCCAACTATTACCTGCTCGAGAAAGATGGACGAACAAGGACGAGGAGGGGAGGAGGAGAAGGACGACGTCTGGCGACGAAGAGAACGAATCGTAACCGACCGTTGGCTCGCTTGCACGAAATAGGATAGTTTAAATAGGGTACAGTTTAGACTTTTTTGTCTCGAGTTTTTTTTGCGCGCGATTCCTTCGTTATTTCTTCGCTCGAAATATTTTTCGGACAGCTCTCTTTCGAAAGAAAGAGCGAGAAAGAAAGAGATTATGGGGAAGAATATTATCTCGAAACGAGTTAAAATTACCTGTTGCTGGTTGAAAAGACATATTTCCTTCTGCCGTTTTCTTTTTCCGTTTCTCTAAGAAAAAAAGAAAGAAAGAAAGAAAGAAAAGAAGGGAACGGTGTATAGGTATATTCGACTTTCGATCGCGACTTGGCGGCTGTTGGCGAACTATGAACCGTATCAGCCGAGATAGCGATATACGCTTGACGGTTGACGTAATTTTGTAATCTTTCTTTGCAGATCGTATCCGTCGCCTGTGCAAAACGGAGGGCCACCAAATGGGACACCGATGAATTGCGCTGGTTCTCAAGGTGAGGATTGGAATAAGTATCGAACGATAAACAGATAGATAGGTATATAGATAGAAGAAGAGAAGAATCGCCGAGATCGATTGAAATTGTACATTACTTTTTTTTTCTTTTTTTTTTTTTTTTTTTTTTTTTTTTTTT